AAAATATATTGTGACTGTAGAATATGCATTAGTATGGTGAAAAAAAGAAAAAAAAAGAGAGGAAGCATGAAAAAGGGGAGAAAAATAAGAATATAAAAAAAGACAAAAAAAAAACGCTTGCACATATATTTTTTCATTGGATCTGTGACAGACTGAGTGAGAACCTCTGTGCGTCACTTGGAGGCTTCACCAGAGGCAAATAATTGTTTTCCTGTCTGAGAATACGCCGGAGGTTTATTGCTTCATAGCGATGAACATGTTTAATCAAGCCAATGCTCCTGGTAGCAGGAGGTTATAATTCTTTCCTCTTCAGAAGCTCCCATGAATCACATGCGTTACAGAGTAACAGGGCTAGGATTGAATGGAGCAGAATACGGGTCAGCTTAACACTGTTATAGTGACATTAGCTCAGGAAAAAAAAAAAAAAAACAACTCTCTGAATTCCTGCCAAACATGCCTCTTTAATCCATCAGAGCCAAAAACACCCACTTGATGACACTGAATATGCAATTAGACAGATATTATAGAAAATATTTTTACTCTTTGACCCAAGGTGGCACAAAAAGGTGTAAAAAGGAGGCCCTTCAGAGATAAATTGACACTGGGCTGATTGAGGGCTACCACCTGCTAGAAATTAAATCCGTTTCCTGATTGCTCCAACATCCCCGACAAGAGGACCTGTCAGGAATCCTGCATGGGTGGACACGTAGGCTTTCCTGGGTATGACAGGGTCTGTTAGAGAGGAACCCCACCCTCGCTTTCTCCGGCATGCCAACACAGAGGAGAGTGGGCAGCGCTGAGACGGCAGCCTGCCGTGGGCACTGCCAGGCTTAAAGCTGCCCTGTCGTCATCAGAGGCTTGCAGAGAAGAGCACTAAGATTCACAAAAAAAAAAAAAAAAGAGGAGGGGGATCGTTGCATTTAAATCCTCTCTCAACGCCCCCACATGTTTTAGCAAAGCATAAAAATCATTCACGGAGAGAGAGAGAGGGAGAGAGAGAGAGAAAGTGAAAAAGAAAAAGATGGAAGGAAATAGACAGGAAACAGCTATTAACAGCAGTAAGCAAGCTCAAGAGATCATAGAGAGGCAGCTCTAATCGCAGTAATGGTTTAAACCCTCATTCCATCCACCAGATGCATAAAGTGTCTACCCAAAAACAAGGCTTTGAAATCCCCCATGTCTAAGAATTTGCCCCGTGGCTACAGTCCTTCCTCAGAAAGAAAGACAAAACTCTCATAAGACGTCTCTAATTTTGAGGTATCTGGCAAAGATAGGTGGATTGCGGTCTGTGTCGTTTACACAAGCGACATAAATGAAAGATGACCATCAAAAGCACACATTTAAATTGAAATAAGTCATTTTAGATACCTACTTAAGCCATTGCTGTGAAATACATGAACCAATGCTTGCAGCTAGCCCTCTAGAACAATTTCATCAAGTTCTATATACAAGCAAAGGGCTGTAGAAATGGCTTAAATGTAAATGAGTGATATAGTTTACCTCAAATAAATTCAATCAGGGATTTTACAGTTTTTAATCTATTATTGCAGAAATGATAATTTAAGATCATAGAAGTTAAAACATCTGAATGACATCGACAAACATGTTTTTTTTTTTGTTACTTTCTATGAAGAGTTTTTTGCTTTCATGTTTCCTTTTCTCTTTTCAGCAGCCCGACTTTATTTTAAAGATTTTTCTGTCCACAAGCCAACTTTGATTGCTCTCCAAAGAGCCTCTAGTTACATGATGAACTCTCACGTCTATTTTCTCTAGTGAATCTAAATATCCAAAAAGAACTTAGGAAGAAAAAATATGAAATAGAGTAAAAAAAAAAGTGTAAAACGAGGAAAATGTTGAGTCTCAAAGAGTGAGGAATATTTCTGATCACAAATATGTATTTCTTTGAAAGCACTATCTAAGTAAGTGATGTCAATCGGGACAAGACTTTAATTGGCAAATCTTTCTGGGATTAGAACTGGTCAGTGATCGTCAAGTCAAATACAGAGAATTAGATTTTTGTCTTCCATTCAGTAAATGCATCAAGCTAAAAACTGCTACAACTTTCAGTATATGAACAGATCTAATGACAGCAAATTATCTGATACACTTTTGGGATTTCATCACAAATCAAAAGAAGAAAAGAAGAAATGGGGATCTTGTAGTCCCTTAATTTTCTGCTGGATTCAAAACTGTTAGCTGTATGAAAGAACCTGCAGAACATGGGTTCTCTTAAAGAGAAATAAGAAATAGTGTGTGGTAAAATAAGGCTGAATTAATCAAAATCAGAATCTGTAGGTCAGACCTCACATCAACATAAAAATTGGTTATTGAAAAAAAATACTCAAAATAAAAAATGAATAAGTTTTCTTAAAGAAAGAAACTAAATTAATCAAATCTATAACTACTAAAATATCCAAGTAAATTAGATGTTCTCAGCTCTTAGCAGTGAATCCCAAGCATTTATTAACACATTGTACCTTTGCTTATGAAACTGTAATCAAGCCATATTCTTATGTAGTTTGGTCTCATCAGCCAAGTTGTATCCCACTCACATCGAGCTGAAGATAATTTTGAGGCGTTTGAGAAAAATAAAAAACAAGAGCTACATGAGCTCAAACCAGGCTCCTAAAACAGAGAAGTGCTTGTGCTGAGCATCAGTTGGGAAGTTTGGATACAGAGATCTGCAGCTTCTGCAACCCTTTGCTTTTGGTCATATGTCCATATTTAGAGGCAGTTTTATGGGACTGCTGCCCACTGTGTTTTATTACAATTACTCAGCAGGCACGCATCCTGTCCCAGTAATGAAGTGGGTGTTACAGTGGGCGGATTTAAGCGGCCACTATTCTGGAATCCTGCTACCGGGTACGAGGTCTAAGTGGCAGAAAGAAACCAACAGCATGTTGTGCAGACGAAAAGTGTGGTGGACAAGAAGACCAATAACAACCCAAACCTTCAGATAGTGCGCCTTTACATAAGTGTCAGGGAAAATGGAGAACCACATTTCAAAGGCCAGTAAATAAAGTTTGTATTGATTAAATCTAACGTGTAATCTGTTTTGCTGTCTGACACTGTTTCTGGCTCTAAAAAAGAATCCTGTAAGACAGCATTATAGATAATACGACCATAGATCAAAGGGAGTTTGGGCAGGAGAAGGGCAATAGATCATGTTTGGACCAGACTGCTTAGCTCTGGAATTCATAAAACTGGCTCCTAAATCGTAATGGCTTTCAATTGAAGTTTTTCCACTTGAGGGTTGTGGGATTTTCTGTGTGCTTTCAGTTAATGTAGAAGTGTCTCTTTTAGACAGCGGATCCAAAATAAAGCTCAGCAGAAAAAAATGCTAAAATAATAATAATAAAAAAAAGTCAAATAAATGTACTAAATATACTTTACCAAACTTCTAAGATACATCTCATGAGTGCGTGTCTAACTATGAAATAATTTTAATAAATAAGCAGCAGGAATGGTTAATCCCGTGTTTAATACAAACAAAATCAGCAGATAACAGAGTGACTTTCTTCTACATAGTCACAGGACTGAGAAAATGACATATTAATTTGATCCTAATTCGAACACATTAATTTGTTTTAATTGAAGCAACATGTTTGGAGAAATAACTCCTAAACTTTCCAAACCTGTTAAGTCAACTATGTCAAGAAAGATTCACAAACACAAGCAGAAGTATTATCTATCGTCTGTACTTCCATTTAAAAATTGAAACATTAGCAGGAACTAAAATTGTTTTTATCTAACTTTGCAAATATTAAATGAGACATATCAAAGTAAGTAATGCAAAGTAAATAACTTACATTAAAGTCTGTTACATGACATTTTTCACTGTAGAAACTATAAGTGTGCGATGTCCAACTCTCGAGGTTCAGTGGAAGCTTGAAAAAGAGTTGCTAGTGCCACCTTCTGTCAACACTGGTTAATTCAGTTCAATACTCAGTCAACAACGAGAGCATAGTGCAGAAGGTTGTATAACATCAGCTGTTCAAACAGGAAGACTGGTTGAAATTTTAAAAAGATGCACATGTTATTTCATGTCTACAGTTTAGGAAGTGATTGGAAACATTGTTTTTTTTTTATTTTTTTAACTTGGTTACCAACAGTGGAGCTGAGGCTGAGAAAGACACTGTTTGTTTGATGTATTGCTGCACTCTAGTGGTTAAAATGTATAATTGCAAATGTGATAAAACGTTGCATGTTGAATATAAGTTTCAATTTAATTCAGATACTTTAAATCACACTAATTCACAACAAAGGTTGTCTCAATACATGTTACAAAAAACATCCTGTTCATATATAGAATTAACTAAATACCTCAATTTAATCCAATCAAGCAGACAGACAGAATTTAAAATCTGCTTTTGCATATACAATGCATTTAAGTGTATTGATCAAATTGATACTTTAATTTTTAATCTATTTAAGGAGACCCAGTGTCTGACATGCCTCTTGATCAGGGGTCTCCAATTCCTGTTCTTGAGGGCTGCTCTTCTCCAACTTTTGTTAACACACCTGAATCTAGTAATTAGATGGTAAGCAAAACATTGTAGGACATTGTTTCATGTCCTACAAATACACCCTGATGTCATGAATGAGGTGTATTTCAACCATCTCATTCAGGTATCAGATTTTGACCTCCGGATCTGGAATAAATATCCCCATTATGCTTGATGTTCTGTGACTGAGAAAATGTCCTATAAGAAGCATATGAAGTGATCATAATCGAGGTCATTGCCATTTTGAGTAAACAAAGCTTATTTTTACAACAAACTCAGCCCAAATACATCTGTTCCTCAAAATCAGTACAGCACCTTTGAGATAATGTTCCAATTTTTAACCCTGTATTCACAAAACTCTTTTTAAGCATCTTTCACAAATTCATATTCAGTTTGCTGTTTCAATCCAAAGCTGCCACTGTTTCAGGCCTTCCAGGGTGATTTAGCAACTCTTGATTCTCTTCAAACCTGTGAGGAAACTCACACAATCCTTACCTTCTCTGCTCCAGGGAAGTAGATCTGCGGGGCTTTCCAAACAGTGCTGATTTTCTCTCTGAATTTGTGATTCTTTGGAATCATAAGGCATTTGTTGATGTCCAGTTCTGGGTAGATTACTTCCAGCCCGCCGCTTTTTCAATGAAATGTGCAAAAAAGGGAGATTCATAGAAAGACATTTGGTTTTCTCTCCAACCACATATTGACAATACAAATTACAATTTACTACATGAACAAAAATACAAATGAAACAGTATTTCGCAAAACGTTTTGAAGCATCATGGTAATTACTTTGTAGTCAGAGTTTATGGAGGCATCTGATGGTACTTACTGACAAAAAGAAGCGTCCAGAGGGTCCAGGGTGCTTTGTGTTGCCTCTGCCTCCACTGGTTCCAAAATGAAGACAAACAACCCCAAAAGCAAGGTGAGTGAAGCCTACAGAAAAGCATAACTTTGTAAAAGTAGCAACAAAAAGATTCACTCAAAGTAATGTTACTCGTATTGTTCATCTTGTCTGGTCCTCTGACCTTTGACTTCGGCAGACCGCATACACAACTGTCTCTTACTGGATATTGTCTCTTTTTGCAGCATCCTCTGTAAATTCAATTGAATTTTGTGGACAAAAAACCCTCCAAGCACCCGAGCAGTTTCTGAAATACTAAGTCCAGCCTATTTGGCAACGATGCGGCGTTTAATGTCATTTTAAGATCTTTGCTTCCCTATTTTGAACTTAAGCAAGTCGTCCCCCCTCCACCCGATGCCAGCTGCCATAACGCACACACTTGACTCTGCCATGTGATTGTGATATGAATGAAGTGCGCGCAGTTTAATTTGAACTTTATCAACAACACAATAAACTTGCATAAAGTGTCTCGTGTTCCGTCTGAACTGAGTGAAATGCGCATTAATCAGCCCACAGCGCGTTGAACGCTGACATGATTTGCGCTGTTTCTGTGAAAATGACGCACTTCGCCTTCACGTCATCGTTCCTCGTCATAACTCCACTGAACACGAGAGACCTGAAGTTTCCGCTGTATCACTGGCTTCCCTGGACGAAGGGCCTCCTTGCTGTGAAAGCTGCAATTCGGACATGTTTCGTTTCGCCTTCACTTGTCTTGCTTGTCATCATTTTCTTTTTTTTTTTTTTTTGTTGTTTTTGTTTGTTTTTTGTCGCACTTGACATTTCGAGGCTGAAAAATGTAGGAAGTGTCTGCGAAGCAAACTGCGACGAGTAAGCCAACCAAAAAAAAAAACCCACACACTTTAGCATTAAAGCGGGCGTGTTAGTGTGTCGTGAGCGTTACCATCATTTTGAAGTTGTGTTGCCGGGCTTGTCCGCAGGTTTGGCCCTCTCTGAGTGAGGCGGCGGCGGACGCTGTCGAGCTGCAGCTGCTGCTGCGCGTGACGTGGAATGGAGCTGCACAAGTGTCAGGTGTCAAAACAAAAAAGACCAAACCAGACTACTGCCCTGTGCCCGCGCTGAATATGTGCACATGTAGGTTTTTCTTTATTTAAATGTTATATACACACTTTCAAGAGTACATGCTACAGAATCTTTTTCTTTCTTTCTTTCTTTAAAGATTTACAGCTTCATAACCATAACCAAAAAGCTCGACAGCAAAAAACACACCTGGTGATCACATAAAATGTCAACCAGACTTCAAACACTGAGAACACATTCATATATTGCAAATTTTCTTTTTCTGTTCATGTTTCAAATTTGCCTTTCTACCGTTTCGGAACAAGGCCTCGTATGCTATGCAGTAGTGATTGTGCAGCATGTACCACATATTTCTGGTGCTCCTAAAGCTCCCTTTGGTTTGTGCTTTTCTGTAGCTGAAATATAGCACCCAAACTTATGGAACAGGGCCCCAGTGACTCTTTGCAATTTATCTAATCTGATCTCTTTATTACCTGATTTTCATTCACCTAATGTTGCAATTTGAAGAAAACCTGTGCTACAAAAGCAGTGCAAGTTTGTATTTCTATATATGCATAGTACAAAAAAGGTACTGCATTAAATTGCTCTAATGCAAAAAGCTATGGTACGCAACATTTGAATTCCAGAACAAACATTTGAATTTTGAATTTCTTCTCCCATATATTTTTAATAGTTTGTATCTACGCAGACACGAAAGTGGGAGCTTTGTAAGGAAACTCTCAAACTGTGAAATGAATGTGAAATCCCTGCATTCATTTCCTGGTCAGTGTCACAATTTGGTGATTTGTCATCAAAGTCTGGCCTTAGTGAGTAAAGATATAAAAGTAGGTTTGTGTTTCTGGTTTTAGTATTGCAATATTCGAAGTCAAGTAACTAATGACACTTCAGACTTTAAATCCAAATTATGGGTTGTGCACATTTACAGAATCACACCAGCGGGCACCAGACGGCTTAAGATAACAGCGAACAAGTTGGTGACCACAGTTACATGACGTTACATTCATTACCACACACTACAGTACACTGTACATTAAGGCATGAGGTGTTGTTGATGCAAAACATCAACAGAAGAATCACTGAGAAATGCAATGCACCCAGGAATGAAATGCATGTCGATGAAAATGTGCAGTCACGCTGTAAAGGCTAATTATATAAAATTATAGACCTTCCAGCAGTTAACCTACTAAATGTAACTGAAAATGTTTACAACATCCAGAATTACTAAAAGTTCAGCTCTACATTGTTTCCAGTCAAGATACTGTGCCAAAATATGTTTACATTAATAAAAACACAAAGAAACCTTTTCAATTAGTATTAGCTAACCTGGAAATTACATAAAGTTGCTACTTAGAGCACCAACCTCACCTCTTATCTAACTCTTACATTTTAAAAGCTATCAAGTTTTCTGTTATGTTGTTTATTTATAAGGTCGGCAGTAAATACAAGCAAGGTTTCACTATGAATAAATCATCTCTTTTGTGTTTTTATAGGGGTCTAAATGTACAGTGCCATGAAAAGTGTCCATACCTCTTTCACATTTCAACCACATTCCCTCCACATAACAGGTACAAACATAACAGGGACTGTTAAGTTGAAGGAAAATGGAATATGCTTTTCAAAATTTGAATGCATTTATATCCTTCTTGTTACTCTAATGCCACAAAATAAAATTTGGTACAAACAAGTACTATCAAAATCCACCTCTATACCCTATAATGATTTCTTTTCTTCCAACATTGGAAAATGGAAACAGTGTGGAACGAGTTCACAAGTACCAAGATATGGCTGACAAAGGGAAAGGAGGGCATTAATCAAAGAAGCAGCAAAGAGGCCAATGATGACTTCAAAGAAGCTGCAGAGAACAACAAATCAAGTGAAAGCATTTGTCAGCAGAACAACTATTATAAATGCATTTTAGTAATCTAACTTTTACAGACTAGAGGGATTAATAAGGCCTATAGAGGTCTTGTTTGCAGGTTGCCTCATCATGTAGGGAACTGAACCAGCATGTGATAGAAGGGTCTCTAGTTCAATTTAAATTGAATTTGAAATCGATGGCAATACAATGTGTTGTGGAAATCTTACACTGAATACAATCCTGAACACACCTTCCCCTTGGGGCCATCTACCATGATGACGCCTGAACCTACAACAGCTGCAACAGCATAACTAAGATCATAGCAAATTTGAAGTGTTAGCAAGGTAAAAGTTTGCAAGGCTTTGACAGAAATAGCCTAAAAAACATGCAGTTGTGCCTGCAGGTAAAGGTATAGGCAGGTATTGAATAAGAGGAGAACACACAGACTCTTAAGAAATAGTTTGTTGTGAAGATTTTTGAGTTTCTTCCCTCCTCAAAGAAACTGTCATGGTGCCTGTCGGTTTAAATTCCAATTAAATATCTTAAAGTCTGTTGCAATGTGACATGTGAAAAGGTAAAAGCGGTATGAAGACTTTTGCCAGATCTTTCCTGTCCAGTCAGTCAAAAGAACAAACAATAGTATACAACATTAAAGAAAACTTTTTTTAAAAACTTGACACTATGTAAGCTAATGCTACAATGAAAAGTCTGTTTTCGTATGACTAGAGCATAATTTAAGGATGCAATGTACATTTTTATGATATAATTCATATATGTGAATATCTACTTTACTTTGAAACTCTATTTTACATACAGTATAATCCATTGTTAAATTGACCTGCCTATAATTTGCATGTACAGTAAAGTATGTAACAGATGTAGCTGGAAGTCAGCACAATTAAGTATTCAGTTATTTCAAACATCAGTAAGTAGCTGCACAGTAACTAAAAACAATTTTGATAAGTCTATTTTCAGTTTTACTGAGTAACACAGTAACATTTTGCTCACTGCCAGCAGTGCACAATATTAGGTAATAGCAGTACATTAGAGTTTATCTGATATTTAATACAATTTACAATACTACCGATACTACCCGTCCTCTCTGAGCACCGTGCCTGCAAATCTGAAACATTCTGCAGCCCATCATACAATCAAGAGCAACAGTAGATGACAATCTTGAACATGACATACAGCAAGGTGTGCAAAACAAATCCAGAAAGATGATTGGATGGTCACAAACAGAATTAAGCAACCTTAAATGTCGCTGCAGTTTGTTTCCTCTGCAGCCTGCCTTTACATAGCACAATACAGTCTGATGCTGCTCAGCAGTTTGCTGCCTCTGGAACTTCATACATTTCTCTCTGGAGTTCAGAAAGTGCTTGTGGTGATGTTGAAGAGTAGGGATTAGATCATCCAGTAGTAAGTCGACTCCTTACCCATACCCTAACATGACGACTGACACCCACAGACTCTGCCATGTACAGATTCCAAATGACCAATCACATTCAGAGGGGCAAATCTCTTAAAAACAAGTTACCACCACAGACAAATACAGTAACAATACAATCACTTCAGCTCTGAAGATTAACACATTATCTGTTGCGTTTTTAGGATGACAGCAGTAAGAATGACAGAGCTATTTTATGGACACATGTAGTTAAACATGTGTGCTATTAATCCACATTGAGCAAATCCATTTAGAATAGTAGTGGTGACAGCTGCATTCAGGGGCAATTGAAAGAACGAAGCAACTCGAACCAGGAATCCTTTTGTCAGATGACACTGTATCCATTCCTGTGAACTTAAGCCCTTTTGTAGCAAAAAGCCACAGACCAAAAGATCACGATATGTAGGAGGTACATGTGTCAAGAGATACCAGGTTAAGCTGTGCAAGCTCATTGTACAAATTCTGCAAAGTTGAATAAACATACAAAAATAACAGGAATAGAAGTGTTTGTGTTTTTTTTGCAGACATGATCGTCATAGAAACTTTCTAATGAATTACTGTAGTTTGCTCTTTCCAGACAAGCTGTTCTTTTGTCATCTCCAGTTTGAAATCATAATCAACATGCAGTCTGGCAGATTGTACAAACACTTAAGGGAAAAGTGTTACATCTCTGAGGCTTGAGTTACTGTTGAATTGCTGGTTGTCACAGCTGGTAAGCAGCACTTAGTTGTCAGCTCAGGTTATTGATATTTATAGCCACAGATTGAAAGTTCTGTTCAGGCAAATTTGTAATTTATTCAACTTAAAATTCTAATATGGGAATATTTAGCAATCCACAAGGTCTGATCTTTGCACTTGTTCCACTGTGCCATAAGTTGAGACAGTTTTTTACTACTGAGGTTTGAGTTTAGATTTGAATTTTTAGAGCTGCTATTGTAAGAAATAATACTTTTAAATTTATTCACAACTCTGAGCTGACTTTGCAAACCTGAAGTGTTTGCCCACGGAGGCAGAGGGATAAATGGTCTGCCTGAATGTTTGGAGTATACCAAGCTAACAGTGCTTATCTTCTATTGTGTTCTTTACAATTTGCAAACATAGAGATGGACTCCAGACTGGACCCCGCCCTCACCACCTGGTCAAATAATGGCAGATGATCCAGAGGGTGAGTTTGAATTTGGGGAGGAAGGAAGGTTCCAGAAGAGCCACTTGCGTTTACATTGACGTCTCTGGTACAGGTAGTCCTCTTTTTCACGCTCTTTGCGTGCTCTTTGGTAGTGGTCGTCTTCCTTCAAGTACCAAACTGGTGGCCAGCGATGCTTCTCAAAGTAGTCTTGGTTCTCTGCGACGGAATACATTTTTATTAATAATTTATATTTTTCAGTAAAGAGATTTTTTTTAAGAAGATAGTTTCAAGTTACCCTAAAAGTAGAAACATATTTAGTGTTAATGAATGACTTTAGCTAAAAATTGTATCTTCAGGTTAGAGTTTAAAAAAAAGTCTTTACAGATTTTGAGGAAAAATCTGCCACAAAATATCCAATAGATGTATTGCTGAGTTCAAGACTGTATTTTCCCAGATTCATAATTTCATGTCGCCACCAACACTGCTTTGCATCACCAAATAAGATACTAATGTCAGCAGCTTTATTCTTTAGTCGTTTGTGCC